ATTAATTTTGACAGATGGTAGGCATCTGCATTCTTTTCTCAATTTAAATGAAAAGTAATCATATGCAAAATTAACAGGACTCAAAATTACCAACACAATCTTTACTAGGTGCACCACTGACACTGTAAAAATATTTTAGGAAATAATGAGGTGATCTGTGTCATAAAGCTGTTTTTAGTAGAATTAAAATAAAAAGCAGCCAAAGAGAAGGAATTCTAGAAGAAAAATATAATCTTCTTATATGCTTGCTTTTTAAGTAGGATGTAAAGAATCTCTGGTCTAGGATGACTGACTCCTTGGATTTCAGAAATACAGGACTACATGGCTGTACAGGACACCACATCCAGTCTCCAGCTTTTGAAGACACCATAATATACAGTGCTCCCCAGAAATTTACCATTCTCCATCTTAAGTGGGATTTTTCTACCCTACTGCTTCCATTGTATCTGTTTCTCAACTTCAAGTCTCTATTTTCTCAACGTAAGTTTCTATATAAAGTGTAAGTTTAGGTAAAGGTTTATTTCCTATGTTTTTGTGACAAGAAGTTTCTGGCCTGTAGCTTAACTTGGTTTCTTACACAGCCTGCAAAAATCTTTTTGGTAGTAGGAAAGCATTTGGTGAACCACAGCTTTTACAGGACATATCATAGTAAGGAATCATGTAACATGGTAAGCTATCCTGGCGCAATCATCATTAACATCTCCCATAGGAGAAATAATTGCTAAGTGTTCCACTCAGAGAAAATAGAGGCAGCCAGGAAAAGTGAACTGACTTGAGTAGAAAAGAGAACCATCAAGAACATTATTTGCTTCCCCTATTGCTTTTAAAAAATTGAAACATTAATACTACTTTTACAGTTGCTCTTTTCACTGTCTTTCCAATGCTGAGGACACTTCAGAAAACAGTCACAATTAAGCAACACATACATACATGTGCATATGTATTTATTAAAGCATACATCTTTAGTCTAAAACTATGAAATTTCATTCCTCTAGCCCCTCTCTCCTCCTGCTCTCCTAAGTTTGTAGACTGACACTTTCACACATCACTTACTACACTTTTCTCATGGGCATGAGACAGTACAGACAGCTACATGAATAGGAGGTCTAGAAGAATTGTGTAGTTAATTAAGAGTGATTGGAGGCCTGAGAATACAGCTAGATTGTTCAAGGTTTTGAACCAGAATGTCCTCCATGGTTCAGTTCAGGGTGGCTCCAGTTGCTGACTTTAACACTGTGCACACTGTTGGAAATATACTGCAGAAAATACACCCCTGCTCTCTTGCGATTTGAGTACAGCAACTACCCTAGTCTTTTTGCAGGACTACTGTTTTTGGATGAGATACATTAAAGGAATTTAACTAAGGTGGGGTGCAGAAGAATGTGTTGGGAATTGAAAAACATTCCACAGGAAGTGGGGAAGAAACCCAAAGTATTAATATCAGAGGACCTATAATTGAAGACCAGCTGAAATTCAAGGAAGAAGGAGAAAAAGACGGAGAGAATCATAAAATGGTAGAGGTTACATACATACATACAAAATCACAGCAGAGATTCTAATACTGGTTTTATCCTGTGCTTTTAGCCTGGACTTAAAGTAATTTCAGAAAGTCTTTGTTAACTTGGTTGATTTGCCTATAAGAGGCCACACACATCCTTCCATCAGTCCCCTCTGATCCTGGGACATTTAATAAAACATTTCTGAAGCCAAACATACAATCTACCCTACAAAAAAAAAGTATAAACACTGATGTTTGTTGGAAAAAAGTACAGATACTCAAATTAACCAGCATAAACTCCAGAAAGGACTTGTGACACATTACTACTCATAGTAAAAGCTCAGTTTAGCATACTGTCTGAACAGATAGAGAATCCTCACATTTATTAATAAAAGTATCAAAGAAATGGAAAATCAAATTCTTTTTAGAATTCAGATTCAAACCTGAAAGGTGAATGAATCACTTAAACCTATATTTATGTAGGGTCTTAATGAATGCTCTACAAAAATGCCACACTACAATTCTAAACTGAACCATTAAATTAAAACAAAAGGTCTCCGAAATCCTTAGTATGCTCTTCTCCAAGACTGACACTGAAAGGACCAATGAAATTTGTAAAAAAATGAGAACATGCATTATTCTAAACTAGGAGGCACAACCTTTTCTTAAGAGCATGGCAAACACACATTTTTCCAGGCAAATACTGAAAAAAAAAAAAAAAAAAAATTAAAAATAGGGGATTGAACTTCTAGTAGGATTCCAAGTCAGGCATGAGGGCAATGCAAGCTTATTTTCCCTTTTCTCCCCTCTTACAAGGAGGATTTTACTGTCTTGGTGAGTGATTGTTGAGTAAGCTTTAGTTTCAAAACCATTGTAATGTGAGGGGCATGCACAGGACACTGAAAGTTTTAGCTGTCATTTGAAATACCTCACACACGTGGCAGAAAGAACAGGCAGGAAACTGGTCAAGCATAAGAGGTAAGAGATAAAAGATGCCAAGTCTAAGATTGAGGAAGAAATTTTGTCTTGAGGATGATAAGGGGACTGGAGCACCTCCCCTACGAAGACAGGCTAAGAAAATTGGGGCTGTTCAGACAGAAGAAGAGTAGCCTGCGTGGTGACCTAATAGCAGCCTTCCAATATCTGAAAGGGCCTACAAAGATGCTGGAGAGGGACTCTTCATCAGGGGCTGTAGTGATAAGACAAGGGGTTTAAAGTTAAACAGGGGAAGTTCAAGTTAGATATAAGGAAGAAATTATTTACTGAGAGGGTGTCGAGGCACTGGAATGGTTTTTGCCCAAAGAAGTGGTGAATGCTCCATCCCTGGCAGTGTTCAAGGCCAGGCTGGATAGAGCTGTGGGCAACACGGTCTAGTATGAGGTGTTCCTGCCCATTGCAGCAGGGTTGGAACTAGATAATCTTATGGTCCTTTCCAACCCAAACCAGTCTGTGATTCTATGATATAAGTGCAAATAGAAATACAAATTAACAATAAACTATTATCATAATTATTTCCAGAGTTTTATGATTGCACATTATAATGCTGTATTTGCTAGATCTCTCATTCTTAGGAAACAACAGAGAAACAGTTGTTTGACACAGGTCCTGCTTCATTTGTCATGTAAAAATCCATGAACTTTCATTTCAACATGTGCTTCCACACTTATTCAAAGAATAAATTCATAGTTTTACTATTCCTGAAACAGACAAGGACGAAAAGCTCATCAGTATAAATTAACACTGGATCCCAAATGAAGCATTTAACAATTAGTGAGTACTAGCCTTTAACGTTCCATTCACAAACTTCACTCCTAGAAACATTCTTGGGGCATAATGACATCCCATTGCATCTTTTTCAGAATTAACTGGTTTTAAGCACCCTTACATGGTGACCTAGCATAAACAGGCCACACCACTGACTTTTGAAAGAGTTTTTTATGTCACTAGTAGGAATGCTACAATACCATGCAGAAACCAGTCACTGAAAGGGAAAAAGAGAAAATGGTTTGCAGAAAAAAAGTCAGTTCTTTGGAGCTGGCAGAGGATGACAGATAAAGGAACTGTGATTTCAGACTGAGGTTCCAGAAGGTAACTGCTATCACTACCTTGGGATCTGCCACCTATGTTACTCTCAGCCTGCTTCTGACTGCATTGTGCTTCTTCCTGTTCCCCATCACTGATCCTCTCCAAAGCTCCCTGCCCCTCTGAGTGAGGTCTTTTCTTCTTCCTCCTGTACTCCCCTTTTCCTGCCTTTTTTTTTTTTTTTTTTCCAGGGCGTGAGTGCTGCTTGGAAGCCATGAGAAAGTTTCCTTGCTGTCAGTTCTAACACTTGGCATCACAGCATTCACTGACAGCTAGAAGAACACTTGTAAAGGACATTTTGCTCCAGTTATGCATTTCAGGGACACATTTCATCATGCTCTGTGCAGGTAAAATCCAAATATTTGTGGAGTATATTGGAAGTATATTTTCAGATGCTTGAAAATCAGCTAACTTTGGGTTCATGTTACTGGAAGGACCAAAAGCAGAGTAAGCATTTATTTTGGAATAAATTTAAGTTTCTACTTCAAAGCATACAGATGATCCAAATCGTCAATGAAAAAGTCATAAATAATTTTTTTAACCTGAGTGAAACAACATATTCATTCTCTAACATCATCCCTAAAAAAAACCCAAGTGAGTGATTTTTCTAAAACCTCCCACAGAATTTCAGCCCGAGGCCCACATTCAGCTAAGGGGGAAAAAGAAAATAAAAAAAAAAAAAAATAAAATCAAAGTTAAATTTCGGCAAGGTGATAAGCAATAAATCACAGGGTCTGGTAACTTTTTAACAATCTGTTCACATATGCTTTTTTCCCCTCTCTCTGTATATTTACATGGAAATGCAAAACTGGTAACGCTGTGTCACTTATTAAAATGCTTTCAAGAGCTGAAAGACGTGCAATTTTGAATAGCCAAATGTAAAAACTGATGTGAACATACTATTTTAAACTGAACTAAGATTTTATTGCTCTAGTAAACATTCCTTGGTTTTTTCTGTTTTTTTCTACCCCATTCAGTGGTCACATTTCAACAGATTCAAAATATTAGCCTACAGTACTGTAACACATATGACATTGTTGAATAGGAATTTCAATGAAAACTTCAAACCCTGGAAAAATATTGGCTGTTGAGATACACATGCAAAAAGGCTCATTAACCAAAGGACAGTACAAGCTGCAGAAGATGGTGTAACCTTAGTTACTCAATCAGGAAAGATAAAAACTGGGATTTAAGTAATGTTTTTTTTTAATTTGGAGAAATAGCTTATAAATAGAGAAGTTAGATTGGCTAGAATAACTGAAATCGGAACGTCTTGTAACAATTTTATACTCTCAAAATCATTTTCTTTTGGAAAAGAATGACAAATGTGTCCTTTCCCAGGATGAGTGAGAATTTTTCTTTCCTTTATAATATTGTTTAAAAACTACCTGTCTCAAAAGCCTGAGCACAATTTTCTTACCTGTGTCCCAATAGTCTCTTGGAAGCAGCGCCCAAGCTGACTTTTAACTGAAACAGGAAACATATGAGGAATGGGTTGTTGATTTGTGTAAGTAGTATGTCCTTTCTGGGTCTTCTGATATGGAAGACCTTGGTAAGAGACCTGTGGATGTACTGGCTGAGGTACTTTCGCTTTTTGTCCTGTTGATGTGCTGTCAATTCTTGAAACTTGATGGATCTGAACTGAGGCTTCAGGGGGATGTTTCACATGGATATTCACTATGTTAGGAGGGAACTTCACTAAAATAATTGAAGGAAAAACACATAAGAAAAATTGGTAGTAAAATATGTCAAAAAAGGTATCTCAGGCACCTCTAAGACATTTGTTTTTGTGCATTAGAATATTTACAGAGTGTCATAAAGGGAGTGAAATATAAATGAAGCCCAAATTTGGAGGTTAGAGGGAAGGATGAAAGAACACATAGACTTTTATTAACAAAGCAAGAAAATGAAAACTGCACACAGGAAAGAACGACATTACAGGATTGTAAAGACTGCTACACAAACATGGATGTCCAAATTGGCTGGTGTGACATTAATATTTGTGGTCGTACTGTGTAATAAGAATCCCATTCAAAGTTCCAGAATTCAAACTCTACTGGGTTATTTTTGGATATATAGTAAGCTTTATTTTCTTTTTCAGATCCATCATCTTTCTCTGGAACAGAGAAGCAGCTTCAGATTTCATCTCTTCACCTTTATGTACCCGCCAAGTCTTGAGTTTGCCCCTGAAAGAGTTGCCAGCAGCTCAACCATCTAAAATCACCACTCCCTTTGTTGAACTTCGAATTCAGGATTTGGCACATAAAGAGGGAGGAAATGTTTTTCAGATACTTCCGTTTTTAAATACAGTTGTAGCTTTAAGTCTGGATATATAGACTGAGACCCTCCTGTCAACGTAACATGCACAGAACTGTTTCTGGCCCTCAAGCCTCTTTTCATTGCATGCCCTTTAAACATGTAACTTAAATTATTGAGGGGAGAGAAGGGGCAGGTAGGAGAGATGTGTACAAACTTCTATAGTTTGTAAGCTGCAAAACTGTTAACATGTACTGTGTCTGGCTGAGTGTCTCTGGTCAGCAAGTACTGCACGGATTACTTGAGGCCAGCCAACCCATTAGACCTAACACCCCTTCCAAACATCAAGAACCAACAAATATCATCTGATATACCTTCTCTATAACGCATACTGGATTGTTGAGTCTTCTGAATTGTTTCCTTGCCTCCAGGAGGCCAGACTGCTCTTTGGAACTTGAGTTTCAGTTCTTACTTCAACCTCACAGCTCCGCTTCCCAGGAAGTGTCTTTCATTTATTTAGGTGTTTTAAAATTACATTATTTTGTAGAAATTGCTTTTGGTTTTCATATTACTTTTATTTCTCTAGGAATATTTTCAGTTTTAATTGGTCTCACACAGGAATTCCTTAAAAAGAAACAAACTTATTTTTACTCTGCCCTGCATTGTTTCATTTATGAAAATATGGAAAACATACTGCAGACGAAACATCAGCAATAAAGTAGATGAAAGTCAGAAAAATGTGGCTGCAGGGCCTTAACAGCTCTTCAGATCTTGCCTGTAGCAGAAGACAACCCTCAAGCAAAATTTATGCTATATGAGTTCTGTTACAGGTACACCCACAAGGAAAAGATCCAGTGTTACAAGGAATAGCAGTAAGGCCCTTCTTAGGCTATTAGACTGGTCTTGCATAGTCTGGCTGTGAAAAGAACAAAGCTCACCCCTCACCCCAATCTAACTATTACCATATATTTTTATGTATGAAGATGGATCCCTTCAACTAGTTTCTCCATCCAGCTGATAAATCTACAAAATATACTAGCCCTCAAGAGAAATCACTGAATTGCACTGCTTTAATCCATTAATCCACCTGGAGATGTTCAGATGCTTAAAACATCAAATTTAGGCTGGTTCCTCCCATATAGTATTATTACCACAATCTTCTCCAGGTCTTGGATCATTGCCTAGATGTGCTGATTATTTTTTATTTCTGCCGGCCATTTCGGGATAAAATGTTTTATTCTTTCCTTGAAAGAAAAGAAACATTCCTCTGTCAACAATCCAACATCCGCATTTGGGCATGTAAAAAGAAGAAAAGGCATTGTGACTGCTGATGGTTCTGATGAGGACTTGAGGGCCAGGAAAAAGAATATTTAAGAGGTCAGACTCTTCAGCAATGAGAAGTCTTTTGTGCGTTTTAAGACAGCAACTCTAAATCTGAAAAAAAACCCCTGTGTCTTAAAATTATTTTTTTTTTTTATGCTCCAACATATTGTCTAAAATAATTTAATCAGGAATGAAATAGTCACAGAAATAAATTGCTGCTCTGCTACGTGTCTAGGTAATTATAAATTACAATCTCCGTTCCCTCTCCCCCCTTTTTTTGTCTTTTATAGTCAGAAAAGTTCTGGGTAGCTTTAGGGCCTAATACTCCATCATGTCAGTGGAAAATATTTCCCAATGGACTGTGTAGCAGTCCCTAGAGAACAAATCCATTGAAAAGATGGAGCAGATACTTAAAAACGTTTGTAAAATACTGTGTTTCCAGGAGAATACTGTCAACACCTCCTTCACAGCTATGTCCCTTTCTGGAAACAGAATTACTACATTAGATTACGTTTATCACAAACACACAAATAGTTTGGCCTCTTAGCAAAGTTATTCAGCAACGAGTTGCCAACAACTGAGCCTCCTCACATCTTTCTCCCATATATTTTGTTTTTACTCAGAGGTAACAATCTTGGAGAGGTAATCATAAAATCACCCTTGACAAGAAAGAAAAAGCAATCTGGCAATTCAAATCAGAATTCAAACTTTCTTTGTTTGGGCAAAATTCGAATAACATTGCAGCTTTTCTTGTTTCTGATGCTCTGCCTTCCTCACAGCATTAGCAGCAGGAAATCCCTACCATTTTTTGCATGATATTGTTATCTGACCTGGAAAGAATGCTCTATTTAACTGAATCATATCATGGCCTATCTACATTAAGAAGTTCATCACAAAATTAACTTATAGTCTCTACCAAGTGATATAACAAAGATAAACATGAATTGTAGTTTTAGTTTTACATTGATTTAAATTTTATCATGTTGAAAAGCTTTGTCTCTTTCCTTCACTAGAAATCGAAAAAACACCTGCAATTTTCTATCTAGGTATACCACAATAAGGACTCTGTTCAGCCAGAATCAGTCTCTTTTTGAACATGTCTGCACTCCTAGAAGAAGGCCCCTGCATTATCCTTTGACTTTGTAACCTGCATTAGATTCCACTGAAAGCAAATTAAATTTACCTATAAACTCTTTTCAATAGCACTGTTATTATTTCAGTCACTGAGCAAAATACTTTCTAGTCATTCTGGTGAGCTCATGACTTAAGTTGTGTGTCAAGATTCACATGACGTAGACAAATCGTTGTCTTTACTGGTTGGATACCCAAGATAAAATTAATTAAATAATATTAATAACATTAATAAAATCAATTCCAAAGGAAAAAATATCTACCAAGAAAAAAGTTACCTTTAACACCTTGCTGTCCAGACATTGTCAGTGGTAGAGTATGAGTAGAGTGGATAATTTGTGATCCTACAGCCTTGTTCACCTGTTGTGGGTGATGGTAGAGTTTTTGAGCATTGGCAGTCTGCACAGGGATTTGACAGAGTTTACCAGTGTAATTAGGAGGGCACTGGCATTTATCTCTAGAACTACACTGGCCTCCATTCATGCACGGAAGGTGGCAAATAACTGAAATTTAAACAGAAAGACAAATTTTGTTAATGACTTCAGCTTTAGTATTATCTGACCACATATCACACACAAGTCGAGAACAAAATGAGTAGGGCTGGGCCCTTCATTCCTCCAACATCTGAGGAATGAATATCCATCTGACATGTGCTTTTAATTGCCTTGTGGTAGAACCACTTCCCTTGCCCTTCTTGTGACCTCTGCCTGTTCACACGTTCTTCCAATGACAAACCCTCCTTTTGACCTCTGCCCGTTTTGCATCTTCTCTCCATGACAAACATGCTAAGCACATTCTCCCCTTAGAAATTGCAGCTATTTTAGTTCAGCTAGATGCTAAATTAATGTACTGCTTGGCTGCATCTCTTAATCACAGCTTTGTACAGGTATTCTTATTTAGTCCATTTCCAAAAATCCTGGACCACCTACACTTCCCTGGAAGAGTGGGGAAAAACTCACCAGAGAATAGACAGTGCTAGGGATAAATTTTCCATTTTCACTTTAAGCTTTGGTTGTACTCTGGAAAACCATGACTTCCTGAGTATCCAGATTTTTGCTTAACATTTTTCTCTCTGATAAAAGAAGCCAATTTGTATACCCACCCACGCAGATAATAAAAACATTGAGAGATTCTACTCAAATGATTTCAGAGACAAATTCCAAAGTATTAAAATATTTTAACAGCAATATAAAGACAGGGTAATTAGTTCTGTACCAGCTAGTACTTGCACATTTACAACAATATAAATGATCAAATGAGACATGAAAAATGTCAACATCAAATGAAAACATTTCTTAACTCAGCTACAAACAGTAATAAGGCATGGTTCAGCACTTTCTAAAAATACAACGTGAGACTTCATCATCAACCATGATCTAGCTGAGCTGTCAACATTTTCAAGAACTAAATGATGTAAAAACAACAGGAAAAACCCTAAGTTTCTGTTCAAGACAAACTAAGGTAGTTTTTTCAGAAATCAAAGAATTTTTGAGAAATACCGTTCAGTGCCCATTTGTCAGCTCTAGGATAAGATTCAGATTAGAAATAAATAAATAAAAATCTAGATTTTGCTGTAATTATGGCCTTTTGCTGGACTGGTGTTGCTCAGTCTACACTGAATTACAACAAAAATGACAAACTGGGGAAAATGCAAGGTAATTAGGAACCTAGTACTTCCTATTCTAAGTGGTGTAATCTCTGGACAACCACAGCCTATTGCTATTATTAATACCATAAAACGTCAGTACTGGAAAAGGAACCCTTGTGTTGCATGTTGCAAGAAGACAAAGTAGGGCATTCAGCAGCCCAAAGAGCTCCAACCCAGCTGCGTAATTCATTTGGCCCAGAAAGAGTGCTCAAGAAACAGTGCAATCAGCCCAGCTCGTCACAGAGCACCCTCATGTTGTATTGACAGGGTCTGGAACGGCAATGCCTGGTTGCCAGATAGGTCCACACGCAAATGTAAACAGCCAGATTTGTTCTTCCACTCTGCTCTACAGATGTATATTTAATATTTTTCTTGTCTTATCTCATATTTTCATTTCATATGAACTGACTGAAAGTACTTCAAGCTGTAGCACTGTGCTAAAAGTCCTAGTTGACTTTGGAAGGCTATCCACACTAGTGCAGGCTTCAGCTTTCTGGGTCCCAGCACTGTTGGTATTTCATCTGACTAAATAAAAGACATCCTTAAAGAATGGCTGTTACTTTAGGGCAAAATGAAGGATTTTTGATCCCGGCAGTAATCAAAGCATGATGGCTACTTATCTCTCTCTGGTACCATTTCTCCCCGAGCAGCCACAAATGAGCAGGTTCACTGTAATAGCAACAACATACTAAGAATTTTAGGTACTTGTGAAGATCTGCCTGAGCAAGGTTGAAAGCTAAGGTGATTTTCCTGCAAAAGTAGCATCACACAATAAAAGAGTTTAAAGTAGCATTAAGGGGACAGCAATTTGGTGTTTTAAAGAAGTACAGTGAAACAAAGGCAAACAAAAATAAGTCTCACTGAGAGATGCCTTGAGTACAAGAAGCCTATGTTATAGATCTTCTTCCCACCCTCCCTGGACTCAAGGCAACGAAATTCAATTTTTAAACAGTATTAATATACCCAGTATCTCCACCAAAATTCATTAGTTTCTTCCAAACTCCTGTTCCTCTAAATCAGTGGGTGTCTGGAAGGCCACACCACATGGGTATCTCTGCATTACAGGATGGTCTTCAGGCTTTTCTCTCCTGCAGGAGCCCGCTGGCTAATGAATGGGCATGTGAAAAGCTTTTACTTTTTTTTTAAATGCTATTTTTTTTTTTTAAAGTGTTAAAAATACTGGGAAGGTAAAATACTGATAGAAAAGAGTTCATTCATGTCCCTTTTCATAACTGTTTGGTATGGATATCAACACAAATAACTTGCGCAAATAAATGCCACTAAAAGGTCTACTATGAGGTAAAAAAATTAGTATCTCAGTATTTACATAAACCAGAAAATAAAAATTCCAAGCTGCCCACATTATCACATGATGCAAAGCACTCAGTCGACTGATTTCTGAACTGTTATATTGATTCACATCTCTTGAAGGTTTGGCCTAATGTATGAGGAACGAACTTTGAATGAGAATATATTAAATCTATTCTGACAATATAAAATTCTGTAACAAAAAAATTAAATATTCTGAAACATGCAATTGTAAGTTATATTCAGCTGTGTAAGAAGAAATAGGATATGATCACCAGGCTAAACTAAAACCTTGATAACCTCAAATGCTAAATATTATGAGAACTTTCAGAAAAAGAAAAAGGAAGAAACACTGAAAAACAGTATCTGATAATTCTAAATAAATAAGAAGCATGCACACACTAATTGCAATGTTTCCTCATGTAGTTTATGGCCAGGAGAAAGGCCTACATTTGATTATGACACAGGCACACACTTCACCGGAGATGGAATTACACACAGACCATTTGAGAAAAGTGAGCTGAATGGGGGTAAGCCTCCAAAAAGGCAGAGGAAGGAAACACCACTTTTCCTTGAAAAGGCTGTGGGAATCTCAGGTTAACAAAGACCAAAAAGCCCTGGGGAAAGCCCACTTAATATAGGAACAGGATATAAAGCCATGGTATGTTTGAAAAGCTCAGCTTCTGATAAAAGTTTCTTGCTTTGTTTTGTTTTGTCATTGAGGTTAAAGAACTTAAACAGAATGGCTGAACACTGTCAGAGGCATACAGGACATTCCCAACAAAAACCAGACCCAAGTGCTGGGAGAGACCATTAGAAGATGCTGTATTGCCCAACTGTTGCACATTCACAACTGGCATTCAGACAAAGGGTGCACTGGAGCTTGATTCTCACTAGGCTGATACCATTTCCTCTGAAAATGAGGGGAAAAAAGATAAAATAAAAACATCCATTACAGTGTGACACGCTCTAGCTGCTTAGAGTCTGATAAAAATGTGGAGATAGGCCTGCACAAGATGACAAGAAATTTCGGTTTACACATGGGTATCCTACAAACAAAATAAATTATGAATGGAGCTAAGAAAGGCAACATATCTGTCACTTAGGTCTGCCATAAGCCAAGTCTCTCAATTGTTTCTTAAGGATCAGCCAGCATATGATTGGACAAATTTAATGATTTCTTTATTAAACAAATGTATAGCTTTTAGAAATGTAGGGACAGGTTTAAATAATTACAAACACACTAAGAATTCTTCTCATCCTCAGGAAACTAATTGGTAATAATAAGCTCTAATTTCTCTGGCATCCAAAGGCCTTAATTCCCTGCCAGCCTGGGACAGCTTGGTGGGTACCACTGTTCAAATTGAGCCAAACAGAGAAGGTCTGTTGAGATGCTCCCACAGGGAGTCTCTAAAAGGCTGAATGCATATTAAAAGGAGAATGTTTGCAACATGAATCCTGATAAAGCATCCACTGCTATGAGTTGGAAACAGAATAGGTCATGAAATCAACAAAGAAACTAGGAAACCACTGATATTCAGCTTGTCCATGTAATTACATCATCTAATTTGTTTTCAAGGTACGCAAATAACCTTGAACAGCTCCAGATAAACTAATACAAACAAGCCCAAATGTTTTCATTTAACCAAAATAATGTGTAACAAGAATTCCAAGCACCTAAATCCTTCTAATCCTTAAAAAATAGCCCATGCTTACCCAAACAAGCCATTTGGATGGATGGAAACTCCCTTCCTGTAACTAGTGTCGACTGGTTTTGAAATGTTCCTCATCTGACTTTCCATATTCCTTTTCTTTTACACCTCAGGGCACATGCAAGTTTGCCTCATTTTCCTTCACCACTATTTGCCTTTTCTACTTACATACTATCAACTATTCAATTACATCAACAGGCTAAGGAAAACCTTAAACTGCTCAATAGATTACAGTATTTCTACTGGATGCATCACAAGTCAGCACATTAATTTTGTCTCCAAGTACTACATAGTTATCCAGCACTATTACATGCTCTACAGCTGCTGGGCATCTTTCATCCACGCTGTTACTAAGCACACAGAAAGCACAGGGACTAGCACACAGTTCTACCAAATGTTTTTCCGTGGGACAAGGATGCCATTCACTGAAGGGAAGCACCACCATATGCAACATTGTATTTTGACAGCTTTAAAGAGAAACATTCTATCCCAACAACCAAGCAAAATTTTTAAAGTAAATCTGATGGTAAGAGCTCCAGCAGCAGATGAAAAATGCCCTTTTCTGTTCACCACTGAAAACAGGAAAGTGATGGTCTGCTCATGTGTATAGCCTAGTTACCACCTGCAAATCCCTTTTTGCATACAACTGCTATTCCCTGATCCAAACCGCAAGGACAGTGCCAGATTTGGTTCCAGACAATCCTCTAGGAATGGCTAGTCTCTGTTACTGGTGGGAGAGCAGTCAGGGCATGTGACAAAAGGCAGTATTGCATAGGGGACAAGCTTCCCATCACAGCATTTTTTAAATTATATTTCTAGTACTCAACAAGAAATA